TCCTGATGAAACACCCCTAATTTTGTTCTGGTTGATCATAGGTAACATGTCTCTTTTTATCCGCCTGCAAGAAACAGAAAGGAGGGTTATGATTTTCATGATGAGTACCTGGGTTTCTTTGGAATCATCATGAAGACTAAGAATTATCGGGGAGCAGTAAATCCAATTTTGTTGATTTATTGTCCATAGCTCAATATTATATTTTTAACCTTTGGAGAGATGGCGCACAGCTGGAAGATTGTTAAAAGCACTTTTTTAGTATTCCAGCTTTATAAACGATCTTTTACTTTACTGAAAATCGTTCATGAAATATACCAATGCCACAGATTATGACCTATTTGCCGTTTATGGCACGAATAATTGCATCATCGTACATTGAGCCAATCGTAGCCAGAGAATCGTGGGGTGAAACAGCCAGCCACAATTTCTTCTCAAAGATTTAAAATATCCATGACGTCACAATAAAGTTTTTTAAAAAAATTGAAGTCGATTATCTTATAAATTTATAATGCAGTTATAAAAATAGTATATGCTACTCGTTTATAATATTGCTTTACAAATTTAAAATTCATTCAAATTCATACAAATTATAAAAACTCGCTTGTAATGTCTCTCGTTTTCAAAACACGTACTCCTGCAATAAAGCTTAACATTATAAAGTATTTACAAATTATTCTAATTTTTCTTGCAATTGTAGCTAGCCGATCTGCTTTCAGCCAAAATTTGTGCAAAGTTCACTTTTACTTTTGTGCGCTTTGAGCGTCATCGCCGTTCATCACAAATATTACTCTAGCCTGCGATGCTTTTGCGGAACGCCATATTTTGTGAAAGATACTACATCTTACATTGTCTATTACAAATACAGTAAACCCTCATTACCCGCGGTTGACATTAATCGCGAATTTCAAGGGACCGAAATAATCGGCGTTATAACAATCGTGTTTACAAATTCGTGTAATTTGAGAGTTAAAATGTCCGTATTACCGTAATTCCTTGTCGGGACCCAAGTTTTGATAATGTGACTGCGAAATTCGTGTTAAGTGAAACGTTTCTGAGCAAAACGTCCAGATTCTACTCTGTTCAATTTTGTTTCATTAAAATATCAAGTTGGCTGTACAACCACTTCTTCTAACTCAATATTTTGTTTATTATTTCTTAATCTTGTTTCCGACAGTCTTCTCTATTTTAATAATGGGATGGTCGTCTGAACTTGCTCAGTGTGGTACCTTACTTAGTTAAGATATTGACTTATTCTGCATTTCAGGCTCAGGGGCGAAACCAGAAAGTTTTTTTTAGAGAGAGGGATCAGTTTCTATTCGGACACGTTCCCCATCATTATTGAAGATTTTTTCTATTATAAAAATTATTTGTTTAAAATAAACTAGTGGCGGTAGAAAACAACACATACTTTTTCGTCTTTAGTAATAGTTCTGAAATACTATTCATACCACAATTTCTCTCCATATTAACACATCTCAGTCATAATTTTTTGTAAATTTCTTTTCAAATCTAATAAAATTTGATGCAATAACTAAATATTTTCAAGCACTATATCAACACAAATTTGACAATTATAACTGCTCTTCATTCAGGTTAGTTATTATCCAACAATAAGATGTAATTCACAGAAATTAGCACAGGTGTCATTATTGCTGAGCCATTGTAGCATTCCAATCTGATATTCCCTGAAGACTGCCAATTTTTATTTCATATATTTCGAATAATTTCTAGAAGATTAATTTGTAAGTATATAACAAAATATCGACTGTAAGAAACGAACAAAGAAATATGAAAAAATACAGGCGTCCAGAAGCTCCCGTTACAAACAAAAAAAATTAAAAATAAAAAATTTAAAAAAAATTGTGTTGGTGTTAATAAAGAATGGCAGGTCCAGTTTTTCCGAAAAAAAAATTGTCTTCGATAAAATTGAGTTTAAAAGTTACTTCCGGGCGCCAAACTCAAACCTTCTGACGCGATAAATTGCGCGGTGTATGACAATGGGGCTGGGCGTAGCGACGATTCTTTGCGTTTTCGGTGAAACTGTCGAGTCCGGTGAATCGCTTTCCGCGCACTAGGGTATTTAACAGCACCAAGTGTTTTATATGTACCGTTCATTTAAACTATTAAATCTACTAAACTTAATTTTTGCTGTTTGTTATAACCACGGTTTTTAGCGGAGTGAGAATGAACGCTGAATACAAAGCAAGCCTTATGGAAATTAACAAAATTCCTAGAATGCTCGAATTATCTTTTGCGTATCTTCAGGGTGAACTGCTGTCTTATGTTTTAGAGTCGCATAGGATATTCAACATGGACGTATTTGAAAATTATTTTTGATGAACACATTTCATTTAAAAATGCACAATTACTTCACAATTGCAGTTATAGTAAGACACCGACACTTTTTTATTTTTTTTTTAAATTTTCGAAAAATCAGGCATTTTAACGAACATGAGATCTGAATCATTCTCTTAAGCGTCCTTTTCGGTAAGGTCTAAATTTAAACCAAAAAAGGCCCGTTTAAAAAAAATGGTTTGAAGAAAATAAAAATTGCCCAAGTTTGCCACAAATCGCAAAAAATTCTCATACTCATGATTATGAAAAGTTGAACATGACATTAATTTATATATATTTTTCATGAACACATTTCATTGAGAAAAAATGTTTATCTTCTTAATTGCAATTGTAAGCAGATTCCGAAAACATTGAATTTTCTTCAATTCCCCCAAAATCGGGGTTTTCAACCAACATGAGACCTGCATCATTCTCTTAAACGCCCTTCACTCTATCCAACAACAACATTTAATCAAAGCAATGAAGTCATTTTTTTAAGTTTAAAAATGCATAAGGGGATTCATGCAAAGTACCTCCTAGAATTAAAATATGTTTCAATTGAAGGGGACGCGCCATCAGCCAGATCGATTACGGAATTTCGATTTTGGAGAAAATCGGCTGAACGGTTTAGCTGATAGCGTTGTTCATACACAGACGGATAGACGAACGAACGTTTTGTAACAATTTCACAACATTAATGATTAGAAACTCAGCTCTTCGCGGTCGGGAGCGGAAATTTATAGGAAATGGAGATATTTACAAAAAAAAATTTGCAGAATTATCTTTTAGTCATATGTGTTAAATTCTTTGTATTATTAGCTGTGTAACATCAAAATTTGTTAGGAGTCGAAGAAGTAAACAATTCTCTCAAAAGGGGCCGATGGGAGGGAATTCGTGAATATAGCGGAAAATAATTCTCCTTTATTCAGACAACCTACTGATCATGTCACACTTATTGGATGTGTCCAAGGGGAAGTGACAACACCCATGATTGATAACTGCAGTGTATAACCCAACCGCCTCCCTTAGATACTTCACTCCAATTTTCTAATTATCACTCCACAAAACATTTCGAATACCACACACCAGCGAGTTTTGATTTGAAAAAAGGAAACGTTCATAAAATTAGGTGTCATGGCATGTGTAATCATAAGTAGCAAATATTCGGTTTTAATATCATTATCACATTTGTATCTTTTACGAAGAGTGTCTGGGGACCGGAAGAGGTAGCTCAGGGCATCAAATGATGTCATTGCAGTGCCTCTGACCGAGAGACCCTAGGTTCGAGTTTCGACCGTAGTAGGATTTTCGACACTAGATAGATATCTAGGTCGAATTGAGTCGCTCTCTGGAGCCGACTGCTCTGATAGGTAGTTTTCCGTGGTTTCTCCGATTAATATCAAGCGAATGCCGGAGCAGTTCCTTAACAAACAGGCCACAGACCGCGCGCGATCTTTCCTTCCTCTTGCTTGTCCTTTCCTCACCCTTCCTTACACACACACACACACACACACACACACACACACACACACACACACACACACACTAACATGCACTATACTGACACACATGCCGAGACGCCGGTCGGGAGCTTAGAGCTTGTCCCCGCTGGGGCTGTGTCCCGCTGATGGGAGAGATAGAGAGATAGAGAGGTGGAGGTACTTGGTTGTGGAAAAATGCCACTAGCCGACGGTAGGTCGCCGCCGGGTCTCGCCATCTAGTGGGAGAAGATGGCCGCCACCTCCCGAGAAAAAATCATACTCTTCACTTATCGGACTAATAACTGTAGCCGTTTTCGTGCCCGAAATTACTAATAAATTAATAAACCATACGAGGAGTCCTTCCCGTTATTGCTTTAAAAAGTAAATAATTATCATTTTCACACGCTTATTCAGAAGTTCGGACGATGATTCTTGTTTTTGCAAGGGGATTCACGATCGATATTGGCACTTCCATCTGCTTATTCCTTTAATATTACATTGGCAAATTCGAAGCAACCCTCCAATGCTTCTAGTGGTATGCCCTCTAAGAGATCCAAGTCGCCATGAGCAAAATTATCTAGAAGATCCATAGAGTAGTTTCACGCCAGAATACCAATTGTCGCAGCTGGTGACCTTCTCTTTAGCTCCACCCACAGGGCACGTGAGAATTAGGGTCTGTCGTGGACGCGAGTAGCCATTGCCCCCCAATTTTTCACATTGAAACTTTTGTAAAAGAACACCTCTGTTAAATGACTTTTTTTCTTCGAACGGACCCTGAAACCCTATTTTTGTATGTAATTCACACCCCCTGCTAACATATTAGTTAAGTTTTTTTTTAATAAAAAATTAAAAATGTAATTTAAAAAATTATTGAAAAATAGCGAGATAAAATGCTAATGTTATCAGCATAGCAGAGTTGACTTTTACAATTGTGAAAACTCCGAAATTATTCAAATTTCATATCCCTAGTCGATATTACCCCCTCAAATGTGTAATTCTGATTAAACTACCGGTTGTTTGTTATCTTCGGTGTATATTCTAAACTTTTTCTGTGGTATTTGTACATCATTTTAATCAGGGCTGTATCGTATTTACAGAAATTATAAGGCTAAGGCATCCTTTCAAACTTTAAGGAGGGGGCAAGCCCCCACCCCGCTTTCTCAACTCTGCGCATGTTTAAGAGGACAATCTTTTTTAAACTATCAACGAACAAATGTGAAAACTATAGTTACTACCATAAAATATTTTTTTAATACATAAATTCTTGCACAAGATGTATTGTAAGAGATTAGCGAAATAAGCCTGTTGGAAAATATTGCTTGCCAATTTGGTAGGAAAAAGATCCTGACGTAAGGAAAGCACTGTACCTTTCACCGTAGTTATCAGTATTTATTAAATATCATGGAAATATTTGTGTAAATCGTAAACAATATCTCGTTAACAAATCGCGCATTGAAAATTACACTTGAGTTGAAATGAAATCCGACTCTGACGCGCAAAGAGGTCTGTCGAAATCTTAAAGACTTTTGAACCGATCTTAAAGTTATTTTTTATGTATCAATTTAGTTAAAAAGTGCTTGCGCTCAAGGAGGAACACGCAGAACATAATCAATGTGGGTGGCGGTTGGATGTGGGAGGGGTAGGATAATTGGAACGGGTGGAACACTGAAGTGTCAAATACTTGCACCGTGTTCGTTTTTATTTCATCATGTATTTTTGGAGAATAGTTGTTGATCCGTGAGGGAAAATGAAATCTCCTACGAGTGTATGTTTCATCGAAACTATTCTTTATACGCTGTTTGGTCGTATTGGCATGTAGATATCTTCAATTCATAACCTCGAAATTTGTTCTTCGAAAATCATTGTGATATGTAGTTTTTGTATTCTTATTTACTGACAATATATCTCAATTATTTATTGACATGTCCAGTAAAACGAGTTTTTTAGTTAACCCTTATAGACCATTTTTTCTTGCTTTATTTGTTGTACTGCTTCTGTCTTTTTCGATTATCATAGTAGTTCACTACCTTCCTCTTGGTTTGTATGAGGGTCATAAAAGAGTTCATGAACATGTTTCTCTTAGCAATATTGATAGACTTGAAGAAATACTTGTATCAGACACTTTAGTGCCAAAAATTAGAAATCCACGATGCAGTTATTTTGATTGCTTTAATGTGTATCGTTGTGGTTATAAAGGAAATGATCATATATTAGTTTATGTCTATCCCTTGAAGAAGTACGTTGATGAAAAAGATATACCTGTTGTTAGTCAAATGAGCCAAGAATTTTACTTCATTCTTAAAAGTATTATAGAGAGCAAATATTATACTCCTAATCCAGATGAAGCTTGTATCTTAATACCATCCATTGATACTCTCAATCAGAACCGATTTAGATCTCTACAGACTTCACAAGCATTAGCATCTTTACCATTGTAAGTTCATTATTAAAATTTAAAAATAAATAAATGAATTAAAAAATTAAATAATTACTCATTGTATTCATGATTGTTTTTTTCTTTGTCAGTTGGTTTAATGGAGAAAACCATCTTATATTCAATATGGTACCAGGATCTGCACCTGATTATAATACTGTTGTGGATTTGTCTTCTGGTAAAGCAATGATTGCTGGTGCAGGATTTTCCACGTGGACCTACAGAGTTGGATTTGATGTGTCTTTTCCAATGTACAGTCCTGTTGTAAATCATTTGTTTGAGTTGCAAAATAAACCTTTGAAGTGAGTACATGTTTTTTTTACTAATAATATTAAAATAGCTCAATTTCTCACTTCATTTCGCATAAATGTACTTGGATAAAGTGTACAGAATTGTTAAAGTTGTAAATCATTTAATTCGTTTTATTTTGTTTGTTCTAGATCGTGGCTCTTGACAAGTTCTCAGACAAATTTACATCAAGAATATATGCAAGTTTTACAGCGCTTAGCTGATGAACATCCTGATATGTTGCTAATGGAGAGCTGTAATGGTGAATTATCTGGAAATTATTCTGTGCGTTGTCGTGGACATGAAGTGTACCAATATCCTCATATATTGCAAGTATGTGCAATAATTGGTAATTTGTTAGAATCACAAAAATATTTATTAAATTTTTTATTTAGTGAGAATATGTGTATTAAAAATCAATGAAACAAAACCATGATTTTTATATGGTTCTTTAAGAATTTTATAATTGTTTCTACCTTACTTTTACTCCTGACAAGTTTCAGTAATATTTTTTCTTCACCTTCTTATTCAAATTTATTATTATTATTATTATTATTATTATTATTATTATTATTATTATTATTATTATTATTTATTTTTATTTTTTTGCAGTATTCAAAATTTTGCCTCATTGTTCGAGGTATTCGATTAGCGCAGCCAACTTTGCTGGAAGCAATGGCAGCTGGGTGTATTCCTGTCATTTGTGCTGATTCTATTGTTATGCCTTTTCAAGATGTTTTAGATTGGAGGAGGTAGGTTTGTGTTATACATACTCCTAAATGGATATGAAATATGAATGTAGTGTACAAATTATCACATGTATTACAGATTTATATATTTTTGATAGTACTGCAACCAAATATACTAATTCTACTACTAGAAGCCATCTTGAAAGAAGTGACATGTTTAATTCTAAATAATGTTCTATGAATGATGCTGTAAAATAGATGGAAATTATTTGTTTGGTAGTAGGAAATAGAGGGCCAGACAAAGGAGAGTACAACACTTTTGAATGTTGTAGAAATTGTGGTGGAAAGAAAGTGAAAATCTTGTCCTTGCAAGCTGTAAGGGAAGTGCTTTACTTAGGCAAAAGGAGTAGTTTTATATCATTAAAATGATGCTTTTTTATCACAGGGGCAAGTGAAAAGAGAATTTTTAGGGATTTGATGTCTTAGTAAATTAGGAATGTGCAACCTGTCCTGTCCACTATATGATATTTGTAATTTTCAGAGCTGCTGTATTTGTGGCAGAAGATGATCTAGGAGGTGTAATTGATGTGCTGACTAGTTTATCTGATGACCATATCCTAGAATTACAGGTTCAAGTTGAGTGGTTTTACAAGCAATATTTTTCATCCATTAAAACTATCACCATGACTACTCTTGAAATATTGAATGGGCGTGTTTTTCCTCAACATTCTCGAACATATGAAGAATGGAACATGCCACCAAATCCAGTAAGATTTTGCAATTGTGTTGTGCAGGTTCAGACTTCTGAGTAAGCTAGGAATTTAATTAATTACAGACACACTATTGTAGATCTAGTGGAGTTACCATATATATGCTGCTGTTATATATATGATATGTGAGAGTTGAATATCTTTAATTGTACAAAACTTTTTTGATAATTCTAATTTTTGATAACTGCTAACATAATTTTGCTATTTATGTAATCAGGATACCGTGTTACATTTGGATTCTTTGTGACGGATCCTTTTTATTTTTCTAGTTGGCCACTAAATCACCATTGTTTCTTCAGCTGACAGCACCTAAATCACAAGGGTTTACCGCCGTTGTATTAACATATGATCGTGTGGAAAGCCTTTTTACTCTCATTCAAAAGTTAGTTAAAGCTCCAAGTTTAAGTAAGGTGCTTGTAGTTTGGAATAACCAAAGAAAAGTTCCTCCTCATCGTAAGTAATTTTGTAATAAATTTGATTTTCACATTTTTTTATAATAGCATAAATAGTGATTTTATTCATTGTCCTTTAGCTTCAATGTGGCCAAAAATCAATAAACCATTGAAGGTTATTCAGACCAAGGAAAATAAACTTTCCAATCGCTTTTATCCCTATGAAGAAATAGAGACTGAAGCCATTTTGACCATTGATGATGATATTGTAATGCTTACTGCAGATGAATTGGAATTTGGCTATGAGGTATGAAATTCTTGCAATCTACTGCGTATGTACATACTTCGTATCCTATTTCTGAATGGAACTTTTATAAATCAGCGTGGGAGGTGGAGCTCACATGCCAAGCCAGGTTGCTGGTGTGGGGGCTGAAAGGTCTTTGGCGAGCATAATGTGATGGGTCCATTGCTAACGTCTTTTGATGTAATTGTGTTAGTGTGAATTTTTAAATACTAAATTGCATTTATTTAAAAAATGACATTCAACATTTAAGTTGTAACATTTGATTTAGTGCATATTCAATGGGCTTCATTGATTGTATAGCCATCACTTTTACTGAACCGAAAGATGTGTGAACCATAAAGGAATTAAATCTAAAGTGAATAGTAGAAGACTCCCGGCCTGTTTAGTGGAATATGATTTGGTGTGTACATTAATATTTATAAAATTAATTTGTTTTACAGGAAGATAGATTGGAAGATAAAGGCATATCTCCGTATCTCTCAACATACAAGTGTGTGTATTTGCATGATCAAGTAATTGAGGAAAACGTTAGATTTCTAGGCCATGTCCCTGAAGTTTGAGCAGTGTGCATCATCTCATAAGTTGTAGATTACATTCAGGGGCAGATCCAGAGATGAATTTGGGGGGGGGGATTTTGTTATTCAAAATGTTGTGGTCGAATTTGTCATATTACAGATTATATAGAATGACACAGCCTAAACTCAAGTCATGTGGTGATACAATTTTATTCGTTTTAAATATACAAAATATTTTTGCTTGAAAGTTTTGTGACAAGCTAAAAAATTGTGGTTTCTAAGAAATTTTGGGTGGGGAAATTTCCCTCATTTACCACCCTGTGGATCCGCACCTGATACATTTGTATGTTATTAAGAATATGTCATTATATCAGCTTGTGGAAAAATACACATTAATTATATTTTACTCTTATTCTATACACACACATTTATTTATTTATTTTTTATCAAGGTTTGGCGTGAATTTCCTGATAGAATTGTTGGTTTTCCATCCCGTACTCATGTATGGGATAATATTACTTTAAAATGGAAGTATGAATCAGAATGGACAAATCAAATATCTATGGTGCTAACTGGAGCAGCATTCCACCACAAGGTACTTTGTTTTTTCCTACTCCCTTTGCATAATTTTTCTTATTAAATTGTTGCAGCTTGTTGCCTAATGATAGTCATTATTAGGCTGGGAATTTACCATATTTGCTTCTTTTACTCTAATTTGCCAAACTATTCTTCACTTAACTAAAAGATTGTGATTTTGTTATGAGTCACTTTGTGTGTTCATCAATGCTGCCAAAGATATATGTACACAGCATCCTGAAGTTAATGATTTGATTTCTTCAGAGCTTTTGTTTTTACACTTTAATATAATGATATGCTTACAGAGCACAAATTAATTTTATTTTGTTTGGAGTCAATATACTATATCTTATTGTGCACGTTTGTGATGATTAAGATTTATGTGACTGTAAGAGCATATGATGGCATAAGTTTGATATATTTATAAAAAATCTTTTCCTCTAAAATATTAACCTTGAGATTGCTTTCAAGTTTGGGTCTTTTGTGTTTGAATTGAGTGGTATATTTCAGTAAATGGGCAGTATTCTGCTGTTTTTTCTCAACCAATCCTTTTCATGAGAAATAAGCTGCACTTGGGCATGTGCTACGTAGTCTTTCTGTCTTATTTGAATGAATTGTTTTGCAATCAATTGGACATCCTTTTGCCAAGAATCCAGTGACAAGATAGTAGTAGTGGTTCTCCAGGTTATCTTCTCTGAAATGGTGCATATACAGTAAAATCTGTCTAACCCAGAGTTGACTGAGGCAAAAAATAATTCCGGTGTAGGGAGGTTTCCATTTTATGCAAAGTTGTCCATTTTATGAACTTGTTAGTCGATATTTCCATCCTGAAAGTAGTATATTACATCACTTAATTATAATTATTAAAATACATTAATATATTATGAGTTAAGGGGAAAATTTACCAATAAATAAATATTTAACATTCTCCATTGACAGCTTCTGAGTTTCTCTTTCTTCTATTAGTTTGACCTTTTCATCTATGGTTAAGAGTTTTATGGTTTTTTCAACCACTGGTTGAAAACAAAAAAAAGAAAAATGGTTCAACCAACTGACTGTGAAACTTATTAAAATAAGCATCACTTCCTAGTGGCGTACTGCTTGCTGTCTCTTTTAACGTACAATGCATTACAGCCCAGAGTACTATGACTCTGATATCCTCGCATGGCATTGAGCAATGCGTATATGGCCAAGGGGCTCTAGTTTTAATGTGGAGCAGGGAGGTGCGTGAATAAAAGCCATGCCTGTACACCGTCCCACATTCAGAGTCTGGAAGGAAGGAATTCGCCAACAGCCTAAGCCTTGAGAGACAAGCAACCCCAAGGGTAAACTCTATGCTGACAGCTGAATCCCCTTTCCTTCTATGTGCGGCTGCTACAACTAAATCACATTTTGCAAGGATAGAGAATTTAAAACAGGCTTGCAGATGCGTTCTCTTTATTAAGAATATATCTCACTTCTCTTTGCCACTTGCATAAAAGTCACAGGACTTCAATTTTTAAAGGAATTTTTATTATGTAGAACATGAAAAAACGTTCTGTTTTACGCCGTGTAAAATGTCAATTAACTTCCCAGACCAGAGAAATTTTCCGGTTAAGACATGTTTCCGACTTGTACAGGTTCCGGTTTAGAGAGATTTTATTGTATATAATCGGTTTACAGGAAAAGTGACATGCATTAGAAAATGTCATTTTGCAGGAGGCCAGTTTCCACCAAGAAAAACACTTATCAACCACTTGAAACACTTATTTCAAAACCAGAGCCAAAGTTATCAATTCTACTTTATTTACAAAAGTCTGTTTGTACTAGTACAAATTTCAAAAAGTACTTCACCAGACAATCAAAATATTCTTCACTTAACTAAGAAATAGAGATTTTTTATGTGCCACTTTGCATTTTCATTGTCAATGTGTATCATGTTGCCAAAGATACATGTTCACAGCATCTTTAAGTTAATAAATTTATTTCGTCAGAACTTTTGTCAAAGCTCTAGAATTCTGTTCCCATCAGAGTGTGTCTTAGCTATGTTGGTGAGAACATGTCTCAGTGCTGCACTTGACCACAAGTTAAAGGTATTAAGAAAGTATTTCCTTTACTGAATCCAGACGTAGCTAATGCACTAATTCAGCCAAGAATGGCAGAAGGAAGGAAGAAGGAATCCAAAGCAATCAGCCATTGGTACACACTTCATTATTCTTCCTGAGATAATCACCAAACTCCAAAAATACAATCTAAAGCTGACTACTTCAGTAACTTTGAATTCTATGGCAATCTCTTTCGAAATTCTCTAGGACCAGTAGAGCTATTCAAAGTAATAATTTTTTTAAAAAATGAAAGAATAAAATCCAGGTTTCAGAATAATAAAAAAAAAGTGCCTTTTTGCAAGTGAATTGTATATTATTTGACTGTAAAAGAAATTGTAATATTGACCCCTAAATACATACAAAGTGGAAATAACATTTTTTGTGCATAAAAATATCATTATGACACAACTTCATTATGCTATTTATGTTGGACCAATCTTACAGAGGTCAACCAAACATTGAGAGGTAATTACTTATTTTTTTTTCTTCTAGTAAGTATTTCAACCATTGACCTGCAGCCTGGTGACAGTAAACTGCACAGGCAGAGCAAAATGCTAAAATGTTGAATGGGAATGAACCAGAGGTGAAGTTAACATTACTAAAAGTATGAGAAAAGGCAGAATTGAAAACAAAGTTCAGCTTTTAATAGTTATCATTAGTTGTGGAAGAAATTTTGTATGAAAGTCAATGTAATGAGTATTAATACATTTGGATAAGGTTTAGTTGAACAGTCGTTCATTCCTTGCTCCAATCATGATATACTTCGTAATCATGTACCCATCATTACATCAATGTTTTATAATAAACTAATCTTGCAGGAACCACTTTATTATTTAACAAGGCTGGCAGTCTTTATAGTATGTTTTCTACAAGTTTAACGTATTTGATGTTCAACACTTGGTACCAGATGGTGTTGATTTCCTCAGTTTACTACAGTGCATCAAGAAAGTCTCTGCAGACACCTTGATGGTGAGAGAGAACAGAAATTGTGATGGTTACAAGCTGAAAGCTTGTAACAAAAGAAAACAAATTATGTACTCACCACTATCATATCATTTGCTGGAAGTGTTGTCCCTTCCATGTTTCCCAGTAATCTGATTGCTACTAACATAAATACAATTTTTTATAGGAGGCTGTGTTTGGGCTCAGTGCAGAGATTTTCCTTGCACACTGTAGTGTATTGTTGAATCATTCATTTTTAGCTTATCTTTCATGAAACTTCAAAAGACTTCTGGGGAATACATGATGGGACCTCCCTAGCCATGGAAGAATGCTAATATTCTTCCCCTTAATGAGAAATTTGAGTTTTTCTTGGTGATAAATATGTCATCCTCTATGAAGGGTAATGTGTTATCAGTAAATCAGAATGCAGTTTGTAGTGTACATTCATTTAAAAAAAAACTTTTCATTATTAATCTTGCTTTCCCTCTAATGTTAGTCTCAATCGCAATTTTTAAGTTTTCTAATGTCGTGGAAGGAGATATTATGTATTCTCCCTCAATTTGTGATTCTCTTTTGTTGTTATCTATCATTGTAATGCTGATTCTACTCACGGATTTTTGACTTAATACAAGACTGCAGCGATATGTTTTTATACCTTCCAGAAGAGTTCAACTACTACTGCTGTAAACAAAATAAGATCTGAACTACTACTTTGGCATTGGTTGCACAAAAAAATTGCTATATTATTACTAGGTATTATTCAACAGTGATATTAATGCTTTAGAGAGGTGATGTAATTAGAAGGTATATAGCGTATTAGGTCATAAAAAGGTCTTGGTGCTGAAGACGTCTATTACATCAAAAAACTTGGCCTGAAACAGCATCCAAATTTTAACTAAACCTCAGAAAACCTATACCTGCATATTTGGCTTACAGAAAAAATTAAACTCTCATAATTTTGTCAACGAATTCAGAATTATTAGTACTCCCCTCTCCAACATACATGCAGACATTCACATTTAACCATTTGTTATATGTGAATGAATTTAAGAAATATATATATAAATATTGTAGTCTAGTTCATTTCCTTTTGTCATTTAAGCAATCAAATATGATTTTAATTGATGATAATGGTAAATATTTTATTGCTTTTGAAGTATTCAACAATAAATATCAGTTCCAGAAAATGAGTAATAATATTGGTAGATGCTGTTACTATTTATTTCGCACTATAATATTGAGAGTTGTAAATATTCAGCCTATAAATTAAAAGTTTACTATCAATACATGAAAAAAATATTAATAGAAAAGAACACACGACATAAGTTGCCAAAAAAAAAAAAAAAAAAAAAACACACTTGTAAGTTTACTTAGTTAAATGTCATTGACATTTATGGGGCAGATACAGCAATTCATGTTGGTGGTGACCATCATAGATTTTTGTTAAATAATAAACATTTGCTATTATATTGTGTATTATTTATGTACTGTAGATATGATACTATACAATATTATTGTTTAAATAATTACATAATTCATACAAAAATAAATATTTAAATCAATTTTGCCAAATAAAGAAAGGTAAACAAAATCTAAGGCATTTGGAGTGGGGGGGGGATATGCTCCCCCCCCCCCTTTGGTACGCTAGTGGACATTGTCATGTGGGAATAGAAATACTGATATATGAATTTATATTTCAGAAAGAGAAAATGGTGAAAGTAATTTATAGCTGTGTTATTTAATGCAGTTTGTAATGCTGTGTTGTTTAATGCAGCTTTGTTATTTAATGGTTTTGAAATCAATAGCCAAATTAATTTTGTTGTTAAGAAACAGTGTTGTTCAGTAAGTATATATTAATGTGTAATAATATTTTGTATGTTATCAATTTTTCAGTACTGGAGTTATCTTTACACTACATCCATGCCAGGAAATATTAAAGAGTGGGTTGATGATCATATGAATTGTGAAGATATTGCAATGAACTTTTTAGTTGCCAATATTACTAACAAAGCTCCTATAAAGGTCTGTATGTCAATACCTTTTCCACATTTGTCACATTGTAACAATGATTATCAGAAGATTTGTGTATTTGCTTATCAGAGACATCTTGTTAATCATGTTTATTTTATTTTAGGTTACTCCACGGAAGAAGTTCAAATGCCCTAAATGCGTCAATACAGAAATGTTATCAGCTGATATTAATCATATGATGGAACGTTCATTATGCATTGATCGATTTGCTGCTCTCTATGGTACAATGCCTTTACAAACTGTAGAATTTCGGGCTGATCCAGTGCTTTACAAAGATAATTTTCCAGAAAAGCTAAAAAGATTCAATGATATTGGAAGTTTGTAGAAATCCTTTTAGAAATATTAATCATAAAAGTTCTTCTTTGTTCATTGTTTTCTGTGATCTTGTATATGCAAAGATTTATATTATTTTAATTATTAAAAGATTATATTTTACATTTTATAAATGTATTAAAATATAGGTAATTAAATATTAAACATTTTTAGCAAAAATACTTTTACTGATTTTTATTTTCTATTATTATTATCTTATCCTTATTATTGTGGTGCTTTAACATTTCTATGAAAATGTAAAAATTTTTAAATCATAGAATTCAGTTAAATTTATCAAAATAGTATTTTATTATGATTGTTGTTATTGCCATGACCCTCTTTAACATTTTTTAAAAATAACTAAAATATTAATATAATTTTTAAAATTGTGAAAAAATGTTTTTCCCCAATACAAATTTTAAAAAAAGTGAACAACTTGAAAACAGATATGTTGTGGTTACAATACAACAATAGAGAGTTACTATAAACATTTAGGGTAAAGTTATATGCATCATGGACATTATTAAAAAATTTGGCTAATATTAGGTTTCAAATCTGAAATCAATATACATATTTAATTTGATATCACTATCTTCAATCAATATGTCCATGTCCTCTTAATGTGTTGGTTTAATTCTGATAAAATGCAACATTCACTTCATTGTCTATGGATGTTAATTCAAGTTTTTGGGTCTCCTGTGTTATGAATAATATTTAATTTCCAGACAGTTAAAAGCTAATACTGCAAATGGTCAAATTCATGTAATGCTAGCTTTCACTAAAGTAAATTAGAATATTGAGGATATATCAATGGAAAGAAGACACCTGGCATTATTAATGTTTGAAGTATTTAAGGACGTCAGTTCAAAAATCTACGTTCTAAACAATTTATAAACTTGAACTCATATTCTTTAAAACAGAAAGAGTTCTTTTGCCCGTCTAGAAGTGTTGACTGCAACAGCCCTCTTGTGAGCGAATGCGATATTTTTGAAAAGGACATAAATAGGTGGGTTAAAATATAGCTACATGCGAAGTCTTGTTCGTTGGAAGACAATAACTTATGAATCAGAATTTAACACACGGATTTCAACCGAGAGGAATCGGAAAAATATACTACTATAGAATTACATTAGAACATTGCAGAACAACACACAAGCCTTAACAAAAATTAGGATTTGATTCTCGAAACTTGTTTCGGGAACTTTTGCAAGAGAATAACCTGCGACACTTGCATTGCAATTTGCGAAAGACCAACTACTTCTTCTTTTTCTCGTAACCTAAGCTGGTAAAAGTCGCGTTAACATTATCGTAACGTGTTTAAATTGTATGACAAAATGTAAGTGAATTTTCTAAGGAAATTATTGAAAATAAAGTACCTACATAGTAAACTTTCGCTTTACAACAACTTGCTGCCACCTCTTCAAGATAAATTTTGACAAAATAGCAACATCATTATCAGATTTGCGAGATTTGAAGTACGCTCATATGATATTAAAAAAAAGAAAAAACAAACAAAACAACACCGCACATGAGTGATCATTAGTAATACTAACTTTGTAATTATTTGGGGCAGAACATTGGCAGAATAAAATGTATTGTTTGTTACTGGGATGATGATTACTGTCGCTCGGAAGACGTATCGTGCAATTTACATTATTAGAAGGGTCAATAGCAATTAATTAAATGTGAATCATTCCTTCAATGGTCGCTATTAATGCCAAGTTTTACCGAACGGTTGTATTGTTGGGATCTAACAACCTCCAATATAGACATACTGGGGGTGCAGTGTCGAGTTATTTATCTCCATATTCTGAGAGGGTGTCTGACGATTTAGGAAGATATTTTGGTATGCTTAAAGAACTTCTTCACTTCACGTTGAGCGCGCACATGCTTGTGCCCAAATCGGGTCATCATCGGAAAACACAATGATGTGTCGCACACGGTATGCATTTGGTTGTAAATTAAGCGTTAATTCAAAAGCTCATCAATGATTATGCCATTTGATTTCTCTAATTACATTCCGAAAGTAGAATATAACTGTTATATGCGATATAAGCTGTCTTTTGATCTCTTTTTCAGACGTCGAACTACCGTCTATTCATAGATAACGTTTGCGCTGGGCAGAAGTCCCCCATATTTTCTCAATACGATCTTTCATATGTGCAAAAACAATTAAAAAGATTTTTGCTTCCGCAATATAATTTGACCAAATAGGAAATTATGCCATTTCAAGGTGAAATCCATCAAAATGTTCTTCAATGCCCAACTTTTGGACTCGGCAGAAAATGTATGTACTGTTTCTAACAATCATTGCGTTTGCCCATAAGGATGGATCTTTGTTTACCGTATTAGGAGAAGTTTACCTAATTTGGCAACGGTGACTTCTAAATATGGAAGTGAGGCTCTGCCTATAGACCAACTTGTATTCTTCCGCCACAATACTAATATTATTTAACACAGCAGTGCTTAAAGAGCAAAAGTTGGCATGAATAAAATGTATTAATGAATATTAGATAGTATATTAATCATCCAAAAGGCGTAACAAAAGAGTTATTTTCATTCTTGTTTGAAACTACTTTCTTCCTGTAACTCATCGTGTTTGCTGGCGGCAGTGATGCACGGAGGTCAAATTACGAACAGTCGCGCTGGTCGCGCTGTAGTGGCAATACGGCTGGAGGGGCTGTGGCGTGGTGGGGTTGTTGCATGTTTGACCCCGTTAGCAAATCGTATGTACAATGTTGAGATATTTCTAGTTCGGTACAGTGATGGAGACCCCTACAGGAGGGGGGAGGGATTCCCGATATATGGGATACAGTATGTCGCTTTTAAGTGGTGAAACGTCTCCGGAAATTTACGGGGGTGCTACGCACAGTAGACCTTCTACGTCTGTTAGTTCTGGTGTGTCAAGATCGACGATGTCGTTACCAAGTACGTGTAGTGCGGGAATGCAACGCGGATTGAAAAGACCGTCGTCTGATGTGTGTTTTGATCCAGAAGTGTCGGCTGCAAGATCCAGCATGTCATCTCAAAGTGGGCTGGGCATGTCTACGGAGTGCGGTTCAGACATTGGGGATGATGGGTTTTCTCAGGCGCAGAAGAAAACACCACCGCCGAATGGGAAGAAGACTAAAGGCCGTGTCAAAATAAAAATGGAATATATAGATAACAAGCTTAGAAGATATACTACTTTCTCGAAACGGAAGACTGGCATAATGAAAAAGGTAAAGTCACGTGCTCTGTGTTTATAGTGAACGATGTGTCTAATTATAAAGATTAGGACTGCAACCACGCCAAAATCATTTATTCTTTTTTACAATAAAGAGTTGTTTGGAAATGGAACAAAATTTCAATTTTTTTAAATAATGAAGTCAACAACAAATTTTGTTAGTCTAATGCCGATGTTAAGTTTTTGTCGTGTTTGGTAGTAGTATGGTCATCTTTGTTATCTGTGACGCCACAGAATTTTTACGTTTGATCCGAAACTTATAGGGCGTGTTTTTTTTCTAGGCTTACGAACTGTCAACATTGACAGGCACCCAGGTGATGTTGCTAGTCGCTTCTGAGACCGGTCACGTGTACACTTTCGCTACACGAAAATTACAACCGATGATTACTTCAGAAGCAGGAAAAGCATTAATTCAAACGTGCTTAAATTCTCCGGATCCTCCTCCTACTGGTGTGGGTGGAGACCAACGAATGTCAGCTACAGGTTTTGAAGAAACTGAGCTGACGTACAACATTGGAGACGAGGAACAGAAAGTAAGGCAGCTGGTTTATGGCGGTTCACCTCATTCACACACACAACACATGGGCGCAGGTCCTACCCAACAACATCCCCATGCTCACACTCAGCATTTCCAACAACATCCAGGGTCACCCCACCATCACATGATGGCACCCCCTCATCCGCACACACAGTCTCCTCCTACTCATTTGATTCCATGTTCAAGTCCAGGGCCAATGATGGGAGCTGGGTATCCACAGCCATCACCCCATGGAAGCTGCCCTTCTCCACTCCCCCCACACCCTGGCTACCCACCTCCTCATCCACATTTGTCTCATTCACATCCTCAACGGTAGTGAGATTTACAAACATCTTATAGGAAGAAGCAACCATGCAAATTCAAGTAGAAGAATTGTTAATTGGATTGTTACTCTTTAAATTAATTGTTTCAAATATTTTTAGTGCTGCCTGATACTTTCTTTTAAATATGACAAACAAAAACCAAAATAACCAGGAGAGAATTTTCAAGTAAATGATAAAAAATTGATTAGTAGATCATATTTGGATGCTTCTTTCTATAAAGTTTTATTTCATTCAAATCGTGCATGCTTTGGTTGGATGCATTTAAAAACAAGACACACTTGTCAAATTCTGTGTTAATATTTGCTGTAATAGGTTTCTCTCTGAATGTACTGCTTTTCAGTATTGTTTACCATGAAGCATGCAAGTTTTATTATATTTCAAGACTTAGTAGTGTTTTGCATTAGGGATGGAATACTGTGACTGCAGTTCTATATTTATATTTTTTCCTTTTCAATTAGACTAATGAAATGATCAATTTTTTTTAAGATGGTCAGAACAGTTTGTTTTTATCTATTATATCTATTTTGCGAAGTTTCAATTTTCATTCTACTTAAAGTTGATTTTTTGAAATAAACTAATACAAATCTTTATTAAATATTCCATCCCTATAAGTATTGGTGTGGTCACAATGATATAAAGCATATTATTATTTGTTATGTTTTGTTTGTGTATTACTTTGTACCTTTTTTACTTTGTTGTGTTCTACAAAATTATTACTTCATTTTTTGCAAAACTGTCATTTGATTTATTTTTAACTAAAAGATTTTATTGGCACATAGTGACTTGTCTTGGTCAGCTTATCCTTGATAAATAAATTTTGATTATTAGAATTGGCTGGGATGTAATTTATTAAAGAAGATTTTGGATATGCCAGTGAATTTTCTTCTTTTGGCCTTACATATGATCTGATTCTTGAGAGGGCTCTGGGAGAGCATATTTATGATCTGTCTCTAGTCTTGCTTTTCTTTATTAAGGATGTGCTGATCATAAATGTATGAATGCATGGTACATCCTTGCAGATGTTTGAATGTGTGTTTGTGCATGACTGTTTATTTGATACGATTGGACCTTTTGTTTGTGTGGTATTCTTTTTGTAGTTGTTTTTTTTTCTGTGGGAGTGGAATGAGGGAGAGAGAAGTTAAGGGTTGTGGTTATCATATGGCAGTTGTGAGCCTTGTATATGCATTAACAAAGTAGTGCCAAAGGAATTTGGTTGAACACACCAATTCCTAATCAATTTTTTAATTTTATATTTGTGATTTTAGTCAAAACATAATTTATGACTAGCTTTTTGTAAGTTAATCTGTAGTAAAAAGTACTTATAATTGCAGAAATGCATATAATTTTGTTTGTTTTAATGTGACTTCTTGAAAGATTTTAATTCAGTTCTAAACATGTAACTTTGCCATCATAAGAGACCGTAGCTTGTGATAAAAATGTGCGTAGATTTTTCGGTTAACTGTGATGGGCTAAGAAGAGCTAATGTGAACTTTGTCCAGAATTCTGCACATCATAAAGTGGCTCATATACATCATCGTTGTGAAAAATGTTTATGTAAGTTTTAACAGAATCTGCATTTTGCGTGTGTGTATTTTGAAGATTCAGAGCAAGTGAGCAGGTATCATTTCATATAGATGTGTACATGTATGTCTGAGTGAAGTGGAAAGAATTGTTTTTAAGCAGGTCTACATACATGTATACAAACAAAATTGTATGCAATACTCTCTTCACTCTAGCCTGTATGACCAGTGGGAATGTTCTAGTGATGTGTTCCATTGAAGTGTCTGTTCATTAGCATGCATTTTATATTAATGAATGATGAACATGTTGATGAAACTCAGGGTATTATTGAGAAACAAGATTTATGTATTCATTTGATCTTTAGAGAAGCAGATAAAAATAGTCTTTCTATTTGGAATCAAATATGAAAGAATAACATTCCTTGATTGAAAAATCTCATATGTGAATAAAGTATAGCCTTTTTGATAGGCATTTTAAGAAAATTTTTGTGTCCCTCTTTCCCCTTTGCAATGTTGTTCCCTATACAACTAATTTATGTTGTAAAGCACAATTTAGATATTGAAATTGCCAAAGTGCTGTGAATTGCTGTAGTTGGTTTGTGTAATACTTATTAAAAGTAGAGGAGCCAGTTTTATGCATGGTAAATTTTTGCTTCAAAAGTATTTGGCATGTTTTGGCTGTAGCATCTTATGCTAAGTTAGAGTAGTTCATAGACATTTTATTTATTGATTTGTTGTTTTTCAAATATGGCTTGTAGTGGCTGGAACCAGATTTGTTTCATAGGCAAAGCTTGTATAGTTATTTAAGATTTAATGAATATTTTGGATGAATAATAATATTAATATATAGTATATTATAATGGATACCTCCTACAATCCAACTGATTATATGAGAGCATTTTACTATTTTCCCAGAGATAGAGGTGTCACCTGTAGAATGATAAAATATGTAATTTTATGGTTAATTCCGTAGCTAACATTAAATTTACACAGTAGTGTCAATAAAATGATAGGACGAAGGCTGGGATTTATTCCTTGTGTATACAGTAAAATGGTTGCAGTGACTGGTGAAGTTGATTGAACTGAGGTTTAGCGTTATTTATCAGTCAAAGTTGTACCAAACCAATTTTTTCAGATTTTGATTGCAAAGTTTCTGAATTTTTTCCAATTTTGTTTTAATTATTTCTGGAAAAAATGTTTTTATGTATTTTCAAAAACTGAGAAAAATTTGTATATTCCTCGAGTCGGGGTAAACTTTTTTAGAAAACTATTTTACGAATTGACAGGATAACAGTAAAATAAAATACTTCTGACATTTATCTCTTTTGGTTGGTAGTTTTAGGTTGTGGGATATAAACAGCATTTTATAAAGAATTCTTTTGTACAAATTTTGCTGCTTTGGTTTGCAAAGGAGTATTGTTTTAGTTATGGATTGTTTGATAGAAATGGTTTGGTTAATGCATTTCATATATACACTACATTTTACTACGTTCTATGAAATTATTGAAAGAAAGTTTTTCGTTTTTGTAGAAATTTGTTGAATTCTAATTTTTGATAGTGACATTTTTTTTTCTTGGTTTATAATTTCTGGAAAACATTTTATGCGGGCGTGATGCAAATTGTTATTGAATAATTTGCAATGAGCATATCCATTTTTTTACCTGCCTAAAAGACATTTGCGGGAAGAATAATTCAGGAATGAATTATTGTCTTCAAAGGTTTTTTCACCAACTTACATTCAAATTATATTTTTTAAACAGAGTGCTCAAAAACCTGTCTTCACAACTGCTAAAATAAAAGTATATACTTACCATTGATGAGGAGCACACTTGTTACTGTAACTAGGAATGGTTCAATAAGAATATTTAATAAACAAATTCTGCATTTATAACTATTTATTTTGAACATTTTTATTACAGATAATTACACATATTCAAAATTTAAAAAAGTTGATTTTCATTTGGAACAATTATTTTTTCCAAAAATGTTCATTTGGAGGTGAAGGTAGTAAAACGTATATAAATCAAAGCGATCACTTTTGCGATATTTTAACTTGCTTATAAGAATTATTTTTACTTATGGCTTCTGAAACTTCAGCGCCGCCGTTTTCATTCCTGAAACAGAGTGCAGCGGACATTTTAAAAGTGGTAAAATGTAAAGACATTAATATTACAAATTATTTTGTGTCCTCAAAAAAATCTTCCTGACAAATGTCAATGTAAACAGGCAATGGATCTCCGTGCGTAATCCGGTCGCTTTCAGTTTCCGATCCGTCATCGGGTTTCTGAAATTACGTTCATTATGTGTTGGGTGTTCGGGTTAATTGAGGGAATTTGCGTGGGTACTGAGCTTTTCCCAGCTTGGCGTGTGATTTTGTCCGTCGTAACCTTTTTTAAAACAAACGCTGTTCTTTGTGCAATGCCGCAACAAGTGTGTAATCAGTTGTGCGTGTAACCACTGCCTATTTAAAAGTTTGCGCGTCTTATCGCAAACTAGGAAATGAACGCATCAGAGCAACGTCACTTTACTTTTAATGAATATTGAAGTGCGTCACTTCCGTCACCACCCATCCGCTTTGTTGGTTAGAGGAGTGCTTCATCGGCAGCGTAAGAAGTGGCGCTTTCGAACGGGGGAAAGACATGAATGGAGGTCTTAATCTGAGACATCAGGCTGTTTCGTTTGATAGGTATTAGTAAAATTCGTAACAAACATTTTCGTCCTTCAAAGTTTGTTACATTATTGGTAGGATTTCGTGTGAACGAATGACCGTTTTATATTAGCAGCAGCATGACATTAACATTGAAACTACACAAGGCAGACGATAAATCCCGGAGACACCAAACTTCGTCTTTAAGTAAAACTAAGTTGTAATTAAACTGGCAGTCTGTTCGTATTATTTGAAAATATATTCACTTTTTTCGAAACAATGTTCTGAGTTAATCTGATATTGGACTCGGCCTCTCGAATTTTTGCTTTAATCTTGACTATTTGTGAATAAGTTAATTTTATTTCTTTTTTCGTACAGATACAGCTCAGTTGACAATAATAAATTGAAATATTTCTTTTCATATTTTGTAACCAATCATTCTGGGTCGCAATAAAACTATCTTGATGAGATGGACTTCAAACGCGGGTGTAAGACATAATTGCATTAATGGTTTCTTTGCATAATGCTAGTTCTGTAGTGGATTGGAACTTTACCTGAAAAATTCGGTGAAAATGTTTTTCTAAAAGGTCATTTTGTCGCAAATTAGTAAGATTTTATATCGTGATTAGATAAGATTTCCAGTCTGAAGCATTAGGTCTCAAAAAATTGAATATGCGTAACTTACTAGTACCTACATGGAATTCAGTCGCCACTCTTTTCTATTGCGTATTACTACAGTCTTTTATCTCTTTGAAATCTTGAGTAATGTCATTGAAAGCATTTGCACCTAACTGGTGTATAGTGACAAAAAAGCATATTTTTGAACGAAACATTTAACTTTAGGTATCTAAAATGGATTTTAGATATTAGAGTAAACGTGCATTTTTATACGTAGGTCGTACATAGAATTTTTAATATCTATTTTTTATTTTGAGAGAGACTGCATATATTTACTTGTAAAGCCCTCGACCAGTGATGTGTAATAGCATTTTAGCTTTCCAAAATAACTGTCAATATCCCACATTAAATGAGAAACAACTTTGCCAAATTTATTTGCCCACGTGTATTTCATTTCTTCTAATCATTGTGGACAGAGAAGGCACAAATGTTCATTACAATTTTAGATAATTCAAATCTGACGATAATCTTCACTTCACAGAGCCAAAAAACTTGGGAACTAGTCCCTGCTGCTCTGGATTGTCCACTCAGTTTCTTTCGAATTCGGCTGTTGCTATTCCTCCTTCGCAGAAGCGAACATGTAGGAAATGCTTCGTAGTGAAAAAGATCTAGGATCCTTTTGAAGCTCCGATTAAGTTCCCAAGCTTTTCTGAGAGTATTGTGAACATGTACATGAACTCCCAGCTAATTGTTCACAAACATATCTTTAAACTCGTTCTTTTAATTTTTGCCCGAAAGAGAATAGTATACTGATGAAAATGTCGCAGGTGGGATTTTCATTAAATTTTTGAATTTTCGAAAATTGCAGAAGTTCCAACTTCTTTCTACGCCCTCTTAAAACTACGTTATGAAAATAGAAGTTTTTAAATATGAAATCTGCCCTTCAAAATTAAATCGTTTTAATAATTGATTAAGATGGAGTACTTTTCGTGTCATTTAGAGTGAAATGGTGATTATTAAAAGAACGTTTTACGATTATTAAAAAAAGTTCACTTAATATGCCGTTGGCTTCATCGTCATTAAAACCTCTGAATTTCGTAAATTTGCAATTGTTTAACTTGCTTTGATGCGTCGGTAACGCTTATGCATACACCAGCGCTGGCATATGGCGATGGCATAATGGATAAAAGTACTGATCGTAAGGCGAATACGCTCGAGTTGGTGCCAGCTTGGGCAGATATATTTGCAGGTTCAACTAGTATACTATTTATAAACCGGTAAAATACCATGAGAAATGTAGCTCCATTAGTTTTCGTTCAATTTCGCGAAGGCGTTCAATGCAAGTCGCACCCGGCCAGCTCTCTGAATATGCGTCTCCTTTTGGAATAGTTACACGCATGCAATATATTGCGGAGTCGGGGACCTCTTGCGCGTTACAGTGCATTTTGACCAAATTAAATTAATAATATGCTCAATATCCCTGTTGTGCGTAGGTTCTGCATCTCTTTCAGAGAGCATGTTTGTTTTACGCTAGCAAGGTCTAATATCGTAGTCGTATGTCAGTAAACGGTACTAGGTTTGTTCTGTAATGCCATGCATTTTGATAGAATGTTTTTAAATTTTACGGAAAGTAATAATATATTTGGTTTAAACAATCTCGTGAAAGAAAACTCAAAAAATAAAAACTTGTAAAATATTATTACATATATTAAAGTTACGGAATTTGAATCGAAATAATTGTGTTACGCAGGTTCTCTTTGAATGCTTTGTGCAAAATCTAATGAAATCGAATTACAACGAGAACAAAGAATAGATTCCAACCTCAAATGTTTAAAATATTCCGTAATTCTAATAAGTTTTCTGATCGTATTCTTCCGTCTAATGACTCTACAAATGGTGCAGATCCCTTAATTAACTACAGAAAGCAGCTTTCTAGACCCTACGCCGGGTTCGTACGTACCCCATAGCGTACGTTATTTGCGTTTGCGTATGACGTAGTTTTACTTCCGCGCGGAACGGAACGGAAACGAACGGAACGGACTGTGCGTGGGATGCAGCAGAGCGACTTCCATTGGTGGGATGTCGGCGTTAGGCAGCGTGGGAAGCTGGGCGTGGTCGCTTTCCAGTTTCTGTCACGTCACCTTCGCCATGGCTTCCGTGACAGTATACTCAGAGAATTTTCCTTGCGAACGCACGATGGTCGTGCCTATTCTATTTGCGACCAAAATGCACACACGACGTGGCCAGACATGCAATTATCTGCAAGCGTTAATTGTGTAATATCTTTTGGAAACGTTTAATATTTTAGCAGCTGAATTATTTCCATCTTTTTAGGCTTGAATATTTGACGCTCTATGAAGACCGCTAGTCGAATCTGAGACACCTTAGAACAAAGGGTTGAGATGTAGCTTGATTTCCATTTTCCACACAGTTGCTTTGCAAGCAAATCATTACTGTGTACAACTTTCCTTACTGTTGCGGAATGCCCCTCTAGAATTCGTGAAGATTTAAACTATTCCAATATATTATATAAGTATATAAATGACGAAAGTAATAGGGAATAGGGTTACTAAATGTTAAACATAATATTTTGAGTCTGTTTGCGAAAACTGTAAATAATAATAGCAATAATAATAATAATAATAATAATAATAATAATAATAATAATAATAATAATAATAATAATCATTTAACATTCCCCACAATCATGTTGTGCACATGTCAATTAAGTAATGAAAATGTCAATTTTTTTTTTTCGAGGTCCAGTCACGCAAGTGTAACGAGGTAACATTTGTGATTTTGTTAAGTACTTTGAATTTCTTATGAGAAAATAATACATGTATTGGTCGCGTAGTCTGCGCGTTTTCAATTGGCTGAAAGCTAACAAAATTCGGTTTTTCAGAAACAGGATGCCTTCACATACTCACTACTAAATAGATCAATAGGAATCGTCTGAGGAGGGGGAGATCCACGGACAATATTATACTATAATAATTAGACAGGCGCAATTTGTTTTCCTAAAATTAATTAATAAGATTATCGGATTTCTTTTTGTAATATGATCTGAAAACCAGAAACTACTCGAATAACAGTGCAATAATAACGTAGTTGCTATTGAAATTGGTTGACAAACAACTTGATAACTGATCCAACATTTTGGATGATCTCCTGGGAGAAGTCTTATTCTAAATTATTTTAATGTTCACAATCAAATAGGGCCGTAGTATAACATTTTATATATTTCCTGCAATGCTCATAGTTTTGAGTAGTTTGTACTGCATATTATTACTGCTGACGGCACTTTCATGAATGATACGGTATTTCATTAATCTGCAATCAACATACTTGTGCGGCGTGGTGAGAAACCCAATGATTTAACCTTAAATGTTAATCCTTATGTTTAAAATGTATTCGAACGGGTAGAATATTTTAGAAATGGGGTGTAGCTCTTTTCTGGCCGGGAATCTCATCGATTCCTAAAATGGCAAGCCGCGGCGCGGAGTCGAATGAAAATCTGGTCTGAGCCGGCTTTTTGGGCAGACCTGTCGGAGAACGCAAAGAATTCTATCCACGCGAGCTTTCGTATCGAATGGGGACAGATGTGCTAAAGAGCCATTTTTCTGCAGCACGGGAATGGGTAGAGATGGCCGCGTCTGCTGCTGTGTTGAACTTACTGTTTGTTGTCTGTTAAGAATTCCATTGAAGTACTTCGGAAATGGTATCTATAAAGAAGAATAGCATTGCATAAAAAGCGACAAATTCATAATACCGGATTGATTTTGGGGTAACTGGTCAGCAATACATTTTTCTGGGTATTTACACTTGAAACGCGACTGCGATATAATTAGA